TGCATTTAAACATCTTTTCAATGGATTTAAACGTAAAAACATTTTTATGAATTGATTTCGAAAATCACTGCAAAATTCAATTCATTTCACATGTCTTTCAAATGCAATGTTTTTCATATGATTTTCAGTTTGTTTTCATCTCTTTATGACATCTTTTGGCTATTATTTTCACTATATTTTTAAGTAATTTTTATTCACATATTTTTTGGTCATAAATTTAATTCAAAATTAAATTAATGTTTAATTTTTAAAATAGATTTACATTTTTAAAAAGACATATAATTGCGGAAAATATATGTTTAAAACTTTGAATATACTGTTCGTCAATATTAAGGCTAAAAATGATATTAAAATATAGAAATTATGAGAAATGGACACAAAATATTACAAATATTTCTTATAATTTCTATCAATTTAAACGGAAAAATATGAGAATTAATTGAATACAAAAACAAAGTTACAAACAAATAAAAAGTGACACAAAAAAATCATTTGATTTTCTTTTTGGTGACTTTCTTGTTGTGAATAGCGGTGTGAAGATTGGGGTGAAGAGTGGTGTTAAGAGTGATCACTTCGACGCGTTGTTGGGACTCTTCCTCCGGTTTCTTGCGTTTCGAGAATTTGCCCCTCAAGTCGTCGAGTGAAGAGCCGGACAACAGCTTGTGTTGAATGGTCTGTATTTTGGAGGAGGAGATGCCGTAGACGGCTGTGACGAAGTTCTGGCAGACCTGCACTTTCTTTCCCCTCACGTCCACAAAGTAAGTCCAACTGACGGTCTTATTATGTCGGACCGGGTTCTGGACGGTTCGCTTCGGCTCGTCCGCAGACATGAGTCCCGCGAGAAAGTAGTTTTGATTCGTTTTGTTTCTTATGGACCAAAATCTGGATTCAAAATCAATGGATTCAAAGTTAATTTATTTCGTTGAATAATATAATTCATACAAATATTGTATTTCTTTAATCAAAATCACATTTTAATGAAATGGCAAATAGTTTTCAATGAACTCATATTCACTAAAATTCAATCCAAAACCAAAATTCAATCCAAAAATAACCCAAATATTAATAACTTTAAAATAATCGCAAATTTTCAGAAATAAATAAATGAAATGGCAAATAGTTTTCAATGAACTCATATTCACTAAAATTCAATCCAAAACCAAAATTCAATCCAAAAATAACCCAAATATTAATAACTTTAAAATAATCGCAAAATTTTCAGAAATAAATATCGAAATAGCTTTTGCGAAGAATATCTGCCATTAAAAAGATATACAATATATGAAAGAGTGGTTGAGACCTATTGAAGCAGTCCTCCTGCACTTGTGGCGCAAATTTGTTAAAACACTGTCTCTTAAGACAACACTTGGCCACTGGTGTGAGGCCTCCCGCCGGAGGTGTCGTGTAGTCGACGTCCATATCCTCCTCGTATTGGTTGATGTGATCGTTGGTCTCATTCACGTCCAGTATCTCAGGATTGGCCGCAGATATCATAATAATGGTCGGTATCTCGTGTCCGGCCATCTCTTCCACTCTATGAGAGACTAATCAATGGTTTTGTTGCAAAACTTGTCGTACTTTTAACGACAATCTCTAAGACTAGTCATCCATTTGTATGAATGAGTTATCCATCAAAACAACTGAATCTCAAAACCCATTAACTGTGTGTATAGAGAGTGCGCGCTATCTATGCATACAATTGCCGGCAGTTATTAGTCTTTACGTTATAATGAATTTTGCACTTATTTTCTCTATAACTCCACAAATTCATTG